TGGGCCTTATTTGGGCCTTATTTGGGCCTTCTTTTGGGCTCTCTTTGGGCCTTATTTGGGCCTTATGTTGGGCTTGACTGGGGCTTTATCTGGACTTGGCTCTTATCTGGTCTCTTCTATCCAAATCATGATGAAGACTGGCAGCGTAGCAAAACTGATCACTCTGCACCGCGCGGCTCAGCGACCTCCGTGTCCTTGCTGCGCGCCCCGTCCTCATCAATATCGGATTCCTCCTCGGCGGGCTTGACGGTGGTCTGGGTGTCAGCCTCAGCGCCATTGCCACGGATTCCATCCGATGCCTTCAGAGCCCGCTTGGCCTTGTTCGAACGTGGGGTTGCCGAGCGGTCACTGCTGCGAGCACGGACATGTGCACGCCGACCAGGTCGGGGCGGAGTCAAACTCCGGGATCTTGTAGCGCGCTTCGGTGAACGTGACCTGCTCGGTTCAGGGGTCTTCGTCTTCAGCCTCCGCAACCGCTCACCGGAGCGCGGCGGTGACCTGTTTGGTTCAGGGCTCTTCGTCTTCAGCCTCCGCAACCGCTCACCGGAGCGCGGCGGGGACCTCGAGCGGCCGCTGCGCATGCTCATGCGATCGCCGTGGTGGTCAGGATTTGCCTCCTCGTGTGGGCGCTTGGCGAGTGTTTTCGCCCTGGCCCCACGATCACTTCCATCCGACTTGTCCTTGAACGCGGCGGCACACTTCGGCATGGCGTTGCTTTCTCTGCGATTCGGGGTGATCTTCCCCGCATCCGATCTTGCCTTCTTCTTCGGCGGAAGATAGCACTCCTCGATGTCCACGGCATGCCGGCTGCCCAGCGCTGTGTGGTAAAAGCGGCGCTGGTACTTCTCCGGGTTGCTGGGGCACTCGAGGACATAAGCAACATGACCCTCAGCGTCCGCTTCATTCAAGGCCCAACACTCGCCCCGTGGAAGCAGAAGCTGTCTGCCTTCCTTGGGTCCCACGAGAAGCGTCCTTCCATGCCCCAAGGGCACCAACCTCGGCAAGTCCGAGGATGCATCCGCCGCATCCGCCTCACTGACCTTGTGCTCGTCCTCCCCATAGATGGACCCGATCTCCTCAGAATCCACGGATGGCAATCGCTGTGCAAGCTGCCCCTCGTCATCATCATCCTCCTCCTCTTCAATCTTAGCCGACCGAGCACGACGAGGCTCTCGAACTTCGGGGCGACCTCGCTCGCGCGGGTTGGGCGCTGGACCTGCAGTCAAACGCAACACCGCCACCAACAACCAACAAACAGAAACAAAACAACAGCAACGGCCACGTGTCATGTGTTCATAATTTGTGGGGCTGCGCACGCAAAGCAAAAGTCTGTGCTCTCACAGACAGTTACATGCCTGAGAGGTTTCACTCCGGCCCACCCACGTCCCCCACCCCACCGGTCACCCCAGTGCGCTGCCCGTCCTTATGCAAGCATCTCCCCGTCACCCAAAACCATCTAGCTGCTGCTGGTGCTATAGTGGAGTTGGTGTTGGTTTTGTTGTTGTTGGTGTTGCTGTTGTTGTGGCGGTGGTCATGGCGGCGGGGAAGGCTTTCGCATCATCCTCGCAGTGGCTCTCCCGACCCTTGAACCGATGGTGTTGTTGTTGTGGCGGCGGCGGCGGTGGTGGCGGTGGTGGTGGCGGTGGCGGGGGCGGTGGTGGCGGTGCGGTACACATGGTGGTGGTGTTACGGCGGTGGTTGTGACTTTGGACTGGTTGTTGTTGTTGTTGTTGTTGTTGGTGGTGGTGGTGGTGTTCTTCTTTGCGTCGGGTCGCACTTGACTCTGTGTCGCTTCAAATTCCGTTCAAATTCGGTTCAAATTCGAGATAAGCTCGCTTCAATTTCGCTTCAAATTTGCCTCAAATTCGGTTCAAATTCGGGACCGATTTCCCCGCGCGCACAGCTTTACACCGGGACATATGTGCCGCTGCGTTGTTGCTGTTGTTGTTGTTGTTGTTGTTGTTGTTGTTGTTGTCGTTGTGGTTGTGGTCCGCGCTTGTTGTTGTTGCTGTTGCTGCTGCTGGCGCTGTTGTTGCTGCTGTTGTTGTTGGTGGTGGTGGCGGTGGCGGGGGCGGTGGCGGCGGTGGCGGCGGTGGCGGTACACATGGTGGTGGTGTTACGGCGGTGGTTGTGACTTTGGACTGGTTGTTGTTGTTGTTGTCGTTGTTGGTGGTGGTGTTGTTGTTGTTGTTCTTGTTGCTGTTGTTGTTGTCGTTATGGTTGTGGTTGTGGTTGTGGTCCGTGCTCGTTGTTGTTGCTGTTGCTGCTGCTGGCGCTGTTGCTGCTGCTGTTGTTGTTGTTGTTGGTGGTGGTGGCGGTGGTGGTGGTGGTGGTGGTGGTGGTGCTGCCGTTCTTGCTCTTAGTCTTTCACGATAACATCAACCGAGTGGCCCGTGACTTCGAGGTTCTTGAACTTCATGGGCCTGGTAGCCGCCCGTGTTGCTCGTGGTTCCCGGTCGTTCCCGGGACGCCTGGGATCCTCGAACTCCATAATCAAGTCCTCGCAATACGATGGCTCGTGCATGCCACCAGCGATGCAAACGAAACCATCATGCACGTAGATCTCGTACTCCTCTTCATTCCTGCGGAGTGCCGGCAACTCCACACTGCGCCCGCTCCCTTTGTGACTCAAGGTAAACGTGCCGGTTGACGGGTTCTCTTCCTCAGCTGTCGCGTGGTTGCCTAAAACTTAGAATTGTACTGAAGAAACTGCACATGACACTCCAATCACTCAGGGACACGAGCTTGAAACCGTTGTAGGGGTCGTCCTTGTGTCCCGAGCTCGTGTCCGTCGCAACCATTCGGGCCTCCCGCGCTGTGTCGCTGGGGTTACGACAAAAGTCCACCACCTCATTGGGAAGCGGTGCCGGCTTGCCGTGCTTTCCTTTCTCGGGCAACTTCCAAGCAAAGCCACCAAGGTCTGCTCGACGAATCCGGCCGCCCTTGAAGAGGTGGAACTGCCATCTCATATACATGTGCTGCTCTTTGACAGACCAACCCGTGTGCTGGGCCGGCTTCCCTCGTTTCGCGTACTGGGCATTGGCGGCAGCCACAACACTTGCACAATCATTTCCTGGCTTTGGGTCTTCTGGCAACCATCCCGCATTGAAGGCCAAGCAGGAGAACAAACGAACCCGACTTTGGTCTTTCATGCAATCCTTGTGGAGATAGGTGGGGTCAACATCCTGCAGCCAATCCAAAATGTGCGAGTCCTCGGTGACTCTGTCTGAACGGTCGCATGTTGCAATGAAGTTACGGCACGCGGCATGGTCGCAACAGCGACTGAGGAAAGCACGACGAAATCGGCCAGCTTGGCTTGACTTTTGTACGTTGTCTGCTTGACAAGTCGGCGTCCCTGCTGGCTGCGGCTAAGATGATTGGGCGGGTTGCTGGCCTTAGCCACAGCTTTTGCCCCGCTCCTGGGCAGCTGCTTGTCTGGTCGATGGGCTCCGGGCTGCACGTTCGGAAACCTCAAACAACCCAGGCACAATGCAGCTCACTTCCATGCAACGTCTGGCAGTCCAAGTGGCATGGTGTGATCATCATCACATGAGCTCGACTCATCTGCTGGAAGATTGTCTTCCAGGATACGGTGTGCCGGGACCACCGCCCGAGACCGACCACGCTCTGCATCGTGCTCGGGATAGCGACGCTCTGGGGCCCGATTTGAATGAGGGGGCGGCGGATCCGGTGCGCCCCGCTTCTTGCCACGCGAAGGAGGCGGCGGTGGCGCGGTTCTCTTCATATGGCAACACTGGATTCAACGCAACACAACAGTGACACTACTCTCTGAAATCGGCTCAAACCTAGAAGCTTCAGTGATCTCTCCATGCACACAATAGGAACAGCACGCTGCTCAGGCTTCCAAGCGGCATCAGCACGAACTCTGTCTGAGGCAGCACGACCAGTACTCTTTTGGTCAGGGGCGCACGTCAGGATCCCTGATCATGTCATGCAATGCAATTACTAAGCAGCATCTCGCATCCTGTAACAGGACAAAGCCACTAGCTGAACAACGGCTGCGGTAGAGAAGTGAAACGAGTTACCTGCAACCGATGAAGCACGGAGGTGGTCTACCACGGGCAGCATTGGCACCCCCATCGCAATGGCGGTGTCCTTCGTCACTGGAAATCCCAGTGCACTGAGCTTCTCAACAGGAACCATCCACCTTTGCAAAAACGGGATGTACAACTTGCCACTCCCTCTTCTCAAGGTGGGGATTTTCCCAGAGTGTGCACTCCATATCAAGCGGTTTTCCGGGTTGTCGCCCAGATGCACCACCAGATCAGGATCAGAGGCAGCCCTTCTCTGGAAAACATTGCGGTAGCGCTGACGCACACATTTCCAAGCACGTTGTTCTCGTTCATTGAGCAAAGAGTCCAGGCGACGCGCCTCACCAGTGTGCATCAGACCGCAAAGCCAGCACGTCACACCGCAACACAGCAGGTTCCGCTACATGAGAGCCAGGACACCTTCCGGAAGACCACGTTGCGGACCCTGGCCGTGTGTTGTGCTTCTTGAAGCACCTGGTTTCGTGTAGCCACAAAGTAATCCCTCGGACGGGTTTGGACTCGAGCTTTGATGTTGTCAGTGACCTGGTCATAGACAAAGCTTGGGTCGTGCACCTGCTCCACTTGGCCGAGCCTGGCCAGGATCAGGTAGGTTCTAGCTCGGGCAACAGCTGCGTGACCTTGGTCACTTGGAGTTACCCAGAGCTGCTGGATGTCGTAGTAGCGGCCATAGAGCAATCTGATCATGTGCATGTCCAGCTCCTGCAGACCGCAGAGAACAAGCTTTTTGATTGTTCCTAACTTGTTGTTTGGAAGTTATACTTTTCTATTTGTGGGTTTCAAGTTTTTAAGCTGAGGGCTTGAGGAAGGGGCTGTATGGGGTTTGAGGGTACCGACCAAGTTAGAGGATTTCCGTGTTTAGGGGATCCAGTGTGCTGTCTGGCTTACTGGCTCGCGCTGCATTGACTCAAACCCACGAACCACACGAACCCGGTCCTGCACATTCTCAATGACAAGCAACGGCGTGCCCAAATGTATGTGAAGCTTCGCATGACACGCAAACACAGTGCCTGTTGGGCCTTCTCTTCCTCGCCTCTGCCCAGCCCTACTGAAATCGGGGCAGGGCAAGCCACTGATGTCGTAGTCCGGCTTCTTTGCAAAGTCACCCAACACAGAGCACACCATCCCATGCTGATAGCAGTACTGGCCTGCACAAAAGTCGGCCCTGTCAATGGCGCGAACCCTCTGCATAAAGGTACCATTCGGGTCCACGCTGCCGGCTGGCAAAATGTCTGTCAAATCACCATGCACGCAGGGAAGCGGGCGCTGGCCAACAACTTCCTCGCACCAGCGAGCGTGGTCTGTGATCAGCTGGCGGCATCTTGCCGACATCTCCTAGGCACGCGCATGAGCCAATGTTCTGTGAACAGACCAGCATGTCAGGGAACAAAGACAGACACAGACACAGACGCACACACACACACAGACACACAGACACACACACACACAGACACACAGGCACACACACACACAGCACAAACACACACACACACAGGCACGCACCACAAACACACACAGACACACCCACCCACACACACACACACCCACCCACCCACCCACCCACCCACACACACCACACACACACACAACACACACACAAAACCCGCCACAACCTCACAAACCCGCCCCTACACACCCCCACACACACTCCACACCCCACAAGCTCCCCCCCCCCCCCGTCCGATTTCTCCACCGTTTCTTAAGCGTGCCAAACCCCCACACCCCGTGCACCCTCACAGTCACAGACCCACTCACCCAGCCACTCAGACTCACGCACTCCCACAAGTAAGTGGCATGCTTCCTCACACCGTACACCTGCAATGCAAACGCGTGCGACGCAGTTCTGAGCACCTGTCATGAACTCGCACTGGAGAAAAAACCAGTGGCCGTGGCAACTGTCCACTCTCGTTCACTGTCTTCTCTATAACCGCCAATGCCATCTCACCAGTGTAAGCGCCGGTACAGCTCGAGGATGTATAGCTCACCCGGGCTAGCATCGATTCCTGCTCGGTTTCACACACACACAGAGACAACATTGATCAGTTTACTGCGTTGGTGGCTCGACTCCCGAGACGGACAACACCTTCATTGGCTGCGACACTAACACTGATAGGTCCTTCAAATGAGAACGTCCACAAACTCGCACAATCGTCGACCACGCAAGCTGCACGCAGCGAGCACACTGCGCGAGAGGCACATCCTCGACCATGTCCTGCATAAAGCGAAGGCTGCCAAAGTCAGCCGGGTCATTTAATCTGCGCCGTCAGTTTCCGGCCTCCTCGGGAGATGAACTACACCGCACTTCTGAAGATTGGGTCCAAGGCGGCGCATCCGAAGCTGTGCCACTTTCCATGGAGCACACGCTCTCAGACCCTGACATCCCAACCTACGGCTAGGACCTAGGACAGCAAATGAGCCGCTGGTTCAATCGAAGTGAGCACAGAAAGTCAGCTGAGCAAGCCAGTTGCTGTTTAATTTTGCACAATCGCACTACCTGAGTTCGCAGCCAAGGGCGGAGCCCACCCACCAAGCTGGTGCTCTGGTGAATAAAGCCAAAGAAGCTCTGTGGCCTGCTTCCCCACTGTGGATGCGTCCATGAAAACCTGCGCCGGTCCACACAGGCACGCTTGGCTTGTTCCGGGCACACGAGCAAATTCGACCCTCAGGCGTGGACGTGGAAGCATTGGCAGGTTCTCAGCAAAGTGGCCAGATGGCAAAAGTACGTGAACTTAGCCGCAGAAGGCACGCACGCTCACCAAGTTTCCAAGTCTGAGTGTCTCAGGCCCCAACCATTGCCGGCGCATGAATCTGCGCCCCTTTCAATTTCAGATTGCGCCCGACCGCTGCCACGGCCTTCGAGACAAGCTTCTCCTTTGATTGGGGCAGCGACAGCGACGCACGAGCACACGAAACATACACAAACATACCATACAGCTGCACATAAAAGATGAACAGGACAGGCGACCGTCCCGTCCCAAAGCTTGCGGACCACTCTTTCCGTCAGTACACGGACCACATGATGTTTCCGTTTCTGTTTGCTTTTTACTCGTTGCAAGTCTGTCATAACCTCTGCATCTCGCTGCACCTTCGAGCACGCAGAGTCTGTGTACTCGGCGATCTCCGACAGAAGGTTGAGCACACGGCACAGCACGGAATCTTGAATTGCTGCTGTGTGCTGTGGGTCCAGGGCGAAACAAAGCAATTCCGCCAGTGACACTTGTTCCAAGCCACTCGCACTCGAGATCCAAGGTTTCTTGTCGTTCCTGCGATCAGCCTCCCAACTGTCTTGGACATGCTGGTCATAAAACTCCGTTGTCCAAAAATCTTGACCCGACAGACGTCCTCCGAAATCCACGGCCAGATGTAACCGTTCATCGTCTCCAAACCGGTCGTGCTCAAGCGTGAACCCACCCGTCGTGCTAGCCAGCAT